CGGGAGCCGAGCTCGGTCTGCCGCCCTCCCGAGAGAGAGGGCCGGGGTGCACTTGATGGCTTTTGTTTGTTTGTTTTTTCCTTGGAGAGCAGCAGTAGCGGGAACTGAACGTGCGTCAAGGCAAGCCGGTTCTTTTCTGTTTTCAGTTTCTCGCGATGTGACTCTTGTAATCCGCCCGAGGAACGCTGCGCGGCTGGGGTAGTTGTGGCTGGTTAGCAGCGCAGGATAGCGTTTCCTTGGCACCGGCACTTTAACCACCTTTACACCGTAGTATCCCAGGGTGGAAAAAACAGACTCACAAGCAGACTTCCTTCATTGCTTCCAAGGGAAAGCACAAAAAGAAACAGTTTGATAATGCCTGAAATTCACTGAAGATACTTCATGATGATACATTGCCACCGTTTATATTTGCCAAACGCTAGTGCCTCTTAAAATTAAATGTTTTGGCCTAGAAATGGGGATGAGTCAGGGAGCACCGAAGAGAGGATGACTAAGAGACTGTGGCGGCTCCACTTTCTGTAGATTCAGCAGAACTCCTTGTACTGCAGCATGATGCTACCCCTGTTTCCGAGCTGTCCGTGGTCCCTTGTTTCTGGAGGCTTCTGAAATCCTTTTGTAATTTTCATATGCCATACACTGGAAGAGATACTTGATGGGCTCGAGTAGTGAGGAGGTTGCGTCTCTAGATGATGTCTGATCAGCAAATTGAAAGAACCCTGATTACCAACAGATCCTTCCAAAAATGTTCCTTCCCTGAACCCTTGTCTCGTGTATTTGTTCATTTACGCTAGGCACGACTCCATTCCTGTGGTGCTCGCTGAGCTGATACTTCATGCCCCAAGAGAGCAGTATCTGCTTTTATCTATAAACTTCAAAGCTTCCTTTCAGGCTTTATGTGGTGTTGGTAATAGTTGTGATGTGTAAGTTTTGCTTTGTTCTGTTATTTTATCTCACCGAATCTTGCATCATTTTATCTCCTGAGATTTCTTCACTTCCTGCAATCCCAGTTCTCTGGCAGGATTGCGTGAAGTCTTTCATCGAGAATCAGTGCAGTCTTACAAATTCTTAAAAGACCTTGTCTTGAAAGACAAAAGATTGATACTTGGTTTATGGAAAATCCAAGTACTATCAAAAAAGCACAAACTTCCTAGAGGAGTGATCTTCCAAAGACACAAGACTTCCTACGTTCCCCAGGTGTTCAAACCAGGGAGCCTAGAAGGCCTGATTTTTATAATGAGGGGCCGTATGGAAGATTTTTTTTCCTGTGATTTTTTTTAAAAAACCAAAACACACAGCAAACCAACCCCTGCAAAAAAACTTAATGATCTAAAACGACGCATTAAACCCAGGGCTGCAGATATCACAAAGTAACATGGAAAACGTCTTAAGGCTTTAGAATACTGCTTCAGAAAAATTTCTGTCCTATCACCTCTACTTCATATTCAAGCTGCATTAAATTAAAAAAAGGTAAAGATATTGTAAGGCGAGGCATAAACTTGAATTGTTTTGACTTTTAACTTGTAATGGACTTGAGTATCTAGGCGAAAACATGACATCTAATTAAACACACTTCATGTTATTACTTTAGACCCTTCTAACTTGCATTCTAGGAAAAAAAAAGTTCTCACTTGGGTTTTTTTTTCTTGTTGCTTTTCTTTAGGTGTGCCAAAATGTCAGAAAGATCAGATATTCTTCACTTCAAGTTTGACAGTTATGGAGATTCAATGTTACAGAAAATGAACAAACTGAGGGAAGAAAACAAATTTTGTGATGTCGTGGTCCATATAGATGATGTTGAAGTTCATGGGCATAAAATTGTATTTGCTGCTGGCTCTCCCTTTTTAAGAGATCAGTTCTTACTAAATGACTCCAGAGATGTAAAAATCTCTATACTGCAGAGTTCAGAAGTGGGGAGGCAGCTGCTTCTGTCCTGTTACAGCGGCATTCTGGAGTTTCCTGAAATGGAACTGGTAAACTACTTGACTGCCGCAAGCTTTCTGCAGATGAGCCACATCGTTGAACGCTGTACACAGGCCCTCTGGAAGTTTATAAAGCCGAAGCAGCCCTTGGAGAGCAAGGAGTGTGAACAGCAAAGCGACTCCTCTGAGCTGAAGGACCATCAAGGAGATGACGACTCTCTGCAGCAAGATTCTCCTTGTATTCAACCTTCAGAAGACAGTATGGACATGGAGGATAGTGATATTCAGATCATCAAGGTAGAGTCCATTGGGGAGGTAACGGAAGTTAGGAACAAGAAGGATCAGAACCAGTTTATTTCTTCTGAGCAAACTGCACTGCATTCCTCAGAGCCTCAACACTTTCTCATCAACTCCACTGTTGAAAACAGAGCAAGTGAGATAGAGCAAAACCACCTCCATAACTACGCCCTTTCATACACTGGCACTGATAACATCATTCTGGCCTCTAAGGATATGTTTGGGCCTAACAACCGAGGTATAGACAAAGGCCTCCAGTGGCACCATCAGTGCCCAAAGTGCACGAGAGTATTTCGGCATCTGGAAAACTATGCTAATCACTTAAAGATGCATAAATTATTTATGTGTCTACTCTGTGGCAAGACATTCACTCAGAAAGGCAATCTCCACCGGCACATGAGAGTGCACGCAGGCATCAAACCGTTCCAATGTAAGATCTGTGGGAAAACGTTCTCTCAGAAATGTTCCTTACAGGACCATCTCAACCTGCACAGTGGGGACAAGCCCCATAAGTGTAACTACTGTGACATGGTTTTTGCGCATAAACCCGTTCTGAGGAAACATCTTAAACAGCTACACGGTAAAAATAGCTTTGACAATGCCAATGAAAGAAACGTTCAAGACATAACAGTGGACTTCGATTCATTCACATGTAGCGCTGCTACAGACGGTAAGGTCTGTCAGCAAGCCGATGCAAGCCAGGTACTGGATGCAGGGAAGCTGCCTCAGGCTGTGCTCAGTTTAAGAAATGATAGTACCTGCGTCAATTAAGCAATTAAAACCAGCCCTTTGTAGGGATCGTGACTGAGAGGAGCAAACAGTTGGTTTGGGCTCTTACCTAAACTAGCCTGAAAGGCTACGGATGGATGGATGGATGGATGGCAGGTTGGATTGCAAAACCTGGCAGGTCTTCAGCCATCATTCTTAGTCTTACTTGATATTTTCTGTGAATAGCAATCTTCCTTCAGGTTTCTGTCTGTGTCTCTACTGTGGATTATGGGGTTAATTGTTTCATTTCTCTCTGATTAGGAGACTCAAGACTAACACCTTCTGAAAGACTGTTGCTGTGGGCTGCAAGTAAACCATCTGCTGTACATTTAGGGGCCTCTCTCTGTCTGGGCAGATGGAGGAAAGAGCAAAGAGGACAAATCTGTGAGATAACCCAATTATTTTTTTTTTTAAAGCACTGGATAACTGAAAGCACTCCATATAGTTAAATTTAAACTTACCTCTTAAAAATTGTCTTTCTCTGATCTTACCCCTAGACCCCTACACTTGAAATGAAGTATTTTTGTGTCACTTTTTTGCCCTTTCTAAACTATTTCAAGGAACTTCTGCTGCCAGTCAACGCTATCTTAAAAAGCTCTCAGGGTTTTTAACCTCAACATGCATTATGAAAAGAGAAAACCCTAAATGATTTGGCAGGGCTAGCTGATGATTGCATAGAACTGTTCAAAATGAATTGCAGCTCTGGAATGTGAGAGGCCGGTGCCTGGAGTGCAAGTATGACCTATTTCTTACGCTGTCATACCTAGGATTTTTAAAGGGCACTTACCAGCGTATGTACTGAGACAAGCTAAACACTTCAAAACTAAAAATTATCATCCATCTTCCATAAATTTTGCTTCACATAGGCCACAACAGTTACTGGTTTTAGAGCAAAGCCGGAGTGGAGAAATACTGCTTTTTGACACTGTGAAAAGAATCTGTTTTAAAAGCTGCAGTGTGTAACAACTCCATGCTCTTCCTTTTTTTTTCTTTTTTTTTTTTTTTTTTTTTTTTTTTCTTTTTTCCCCCTTAGTGCTTGTATATCTCACCTTGATATCTAATAAGGGCCACATGTCAGTTTACTTGAAAAAAGAAAACAAAAATACCTGCCATAAAAAGATTAACATCATCAATTTTTTTGATTTCTTGGACATTCAGAGAATACTTTTTTTTTAAGTGACCTGCATAGTTCATGACCATTAGTGTTTTACAGAGCCTAGGATGAGGTATAGGTAGCACAATTTCCATAGGTTAATATATCAGCAATTGACTGTACTCAGCAATACCTCTTATATACCGCCTTAAACATCAAATGTAGCGGGAATGGCATGTGAATTGGGATTCTGGGATTATACCATATTACTTCTCAAAAGTGCCGTGGAATTATCCGCATCCCAATCAGGCTGAAAGAAACTAATATATCTGAGGAACACCATTCCCAGTAGAACTCTTATTACATTGAAGTGTAGCATAGACTAATAATCAAATGGCTGATCCTCGGTAGAGAACTGCTGTTTGTATTTGGAATAAGTATTTCTTCCAATGCAGCTCTTTTCCACAAGGTTTGCCATGAGGCTGAGATTATGCTTCCTACCTAAAAGTAGTACTGTTTGTGTGTTTGAATGAGGGGGTGGGGGTGAAAGGCTGCTATTGTGTGGTTAAAAATGCTAAACAGGTATGACCAAAGGTGTGTTAGAGCAAAAAATGTTTTGTATGTAATTATCAAAAGTTGGTCTTGATCTTCAGATACGTGTGTGTGTGTAGAAGCCAGGATTTCCTTATGCGGACATTACACTGACGGACGATAAAAAGCGTTAATCTCGCAGAACGTTTTCAGAAATCCACGTACTTTCAAGTAGAAAAGCAAGGTGATTCTGTGAATCAGTTTTTGCAATTGAGTTTTTAAACTACTGTACTTGACTGTTACATGAACTATTACATGGACAGCTATGAAGTAAGCAATGGAAATGGAGTCAGGCCATTACATCTTTCAAGTTGTAGCAAATATATTTAGGCCTAAAATCTAACTATTTGGAACTTTTTAAAATTACCGTTCAGGTTCCTGGGGCAGAAAATAGGTTTGCATGGGAAGAAAAACTGGTTTTCCTCTTAAAGCAACCTGCTTCCAGAATCGTTTCGAGCTAAAACTGACCGTGACAGTTGCACCTGACACTTGCATTTTGTCTTCAGGCAGAATCTTCTGTATTGTTCAAACATTTTGGTAACATTCACTATATGGAAACAAGTTATAGCACTAACATCGAAACAAAGATAGACATGGAGAATAAGAGCTTGCAGAGCCAGGTCAACATGCTGTAAGGGACTAGTGAACAATCTAACCAGACATGGACATGGACATGATAAATAAAACTATCTTCTGCCAGAGAAAGGAATAAAACTGTACAAATGCTAGAAAAAGTGGCAGCAAAATGAACAGTACTGAAAGCTTTGTCTGTCTGGGAAGGTTTTTTTTCATGGAATCATGAAGCTGTAATGATACTGCAAGGAGAATACAACTTGTTGAAGTAGCTGCAGGTGACCTGAAGCTGATACAAAGAGACAAGGGGTTTCCTAAGAAACAAAAAAATTATTTGGTCAAGATACATAGGTTTTCAGTCCACCCCCTGCTGTGGGGGTGTCAGCGTCCAAGAAGGGTGAGACTGCTGGCCGTTCAGTTAAAAGGCTGCCTGTGGTCATTTGGTGAGACCATGGCAGAAATAAATAGCAAAAAGATGACACGCAGAAGACTGCTTCTTCAATGAAAATGGATGCATCTGTTGGATGAAGAGTGACTTCTTACTAACGTCTGTGCTTTTGGCCTGGCAAATGGGTGCAGACCAAAAGATTGATGCAGGAGATGGCTGTGTGGCTCCAGAAACACTGGAGATCTAAGAGGGCAATACGCTGATGGCACGGTGCAAAGTGCGCTGGTGGTAGAGTTCATCTAACAGACAAGTGAAGAGTATAGAAGAGGTGTTAGAAAAGAAAAATCTGGCTAATGCTTCTTCTCTGAATTACAGATTAAAATGGAGTGAGAATTATTATAAATGGAATACACAGAGGCAGCTTGATTATAGAATGAGATGAACTTAATTGTCCATGTTTGTAAAATGTTGTCTTCATTGCAATGTTCCGATTAGTGAAAGACTAGATCCATTGGTTGTTGCTACTGATGCTGCATATTCAGATGAGGACTATGGCAGTTATCATAATCTGTGTGTTAATGTGTAGAATACTATTTGCTGGTAAGTGGATAGTCTCACAAGTTAATGTGCTGTACAACTTCCTGCATATCCTAAAAATAACTGAAGTCTATTACAAAAATATTTTAATAACTTCTTGAAAATATTAGGATTTTTTTTTATGTTGGCATTTTATTTATTTTTTTTTTTATATATATAGGAGAAGAAAATCTTAGAACTCCTTAGGTTTACCAGAGGTTTAGGCTCACCGCTTTTCTGAGTGGTGGTAGCTTGTGTAGCCTGTGTTCCCCCAGCCTGTGCCGCTGCACAGCCTCCTGTATAGGTCAGGGATGAGCCTTTCCTTAATTTATTTTTTTTCTTTTGGAAGACGTGTTTTGCAAGTTAGTAACTGATAAAATTGAAGCGTCAGTCTTTTTCTCCTGTAGCTTTTTTGGCAAAACTTAGATAGCTGCTGCTGAACTTTTCTTGAAATAACTTAAAAATTAATTGTGTGGGGGCCGATTTTGGTTCTGGAGTCATTGGGAGGAGTGAAGGCGAGGAGGGAGAATCAAAATGTGAGACGTACTGAAACTGTTGAGAGAATTCTGAAGTCATGTGAAGTCTTGATTACTTTTTAAAAAACCAAGGGGGGAGAATAGTCGGCCCTCCTGGCGTGGTGAGGGTTGAGGAGGCAGAACGGACGTTTTTCCTTTGAGATTGTATAATCGACGGACTGAGCATTAGCTACCTCTTCAGTGACTGGGCAGAAGCCTCAGCCCAAGTGTCGTTACCAAAGCAGGCGGGGCAGCGGCTGCCGGCGCAGCCTCCTCCCGCGCTGGGGCCGG